CACCGCCTGGCTGGGGAGGGTAGGGTTTACAGTCTTGTAGAGGACCTAAGTGGGGACACTAAGGAAATGGCGGAGTCCAATTAATTGTTGGCATGGGTCTGCACCTAATTAGTATGAGGGGGCTTCACAGGAGGAAGTTTATCATCACAGGGGGCTTTCCAGCTTGGGCAGGTTCTGCCACCTCGGTTGTCTTATCAGGCTGTCTCATCGGGGCCTGACACCTGGAGGAAGCTGCTAACTGAAATGTTGGTGGCTTGAGTTTACTTTGGCCTAACACCACCCAGGGACCCTACTACTCTTGTTGTTAGGTACCCTCTAAAAAGAACCAACAAATAGTTTTCAAATCATGTGACAGAGCAAAACTGCCCTACAGGGTTTGGTAGGCTGTGATCTTTACAGAAGCAGGTTACCAGGTCCTTCTTCTGCAGAGCTGCTGGATGAGTTCGAACCCACCAACCTGAACCCACTCACCTTTTTGGTTAACAGCCAATCATTTAACCATTGCACCACTTAGTCTCTACTCTTAACCAAAAAAAAACAAAAAACAAACCCATTGCCATCAAGTCAATTCCAACTCATAATGACCCCCATTGGGTTTCCAAGGCAGGAAGTAGATTGCCCAGTCTTGCTTCCGGGGAGTGGGCTGGTGAGGATGAACCACCAACCTTCTGGTTAGCAGTCAGATGCCTTAGGCACTATGCTACCAGAGCTCTAGTCTCTACTCTTAGGGGCAGGTAAAAGTTTCCTTTGGTAAGTGAACCTATTAATTCACTATTTTTGGGAGATTATTCTGTGATTTGAGAAGACTTCAAAACATATGGCAATTCCTAGGATACTGCCCCATCCTCAATATATTATGTGTGGTCTTGAGAGAAAAGGATAGTGTTGAGTAAGAAAAACAGTCTATATTAAAATGCTTACCTAAAGTTTCCTGGTTCAATGTAGTGGGTAAAGTCAAGTACTGAAATCAGATGGCCTGAGTTGAAGACATTCTGTTATAATGGACAAGTTACTTAACTTCCCCACTTTCCTGTGCCTTGATTTCCTCAACTACTGTATAATAAAAGCAATGATTTTTAAAAGTACCTGTTTAAAATGGCTAAAGATTAAAAAAAGATCCCACACCTGTAAAGTGCTTTGTAAACTTCAGAACTCTATACCTGTGTTACCATGTGTTAAAATCCACATGAGATGCCCTTTGGTAATCAAGCCACGCAGCAAAGGTTATCACTTTCGTTTGAAAGTTCCCTTCAAAACATCGTTAACTGGGTGTGCGCAGGAACACAAAACCAAAATGAAGTTCTCCTCCAAATTGTTCTGGCTTAAGTAAATGCGAATATACTTACCACGGATTCTCCTGTGAACTACTACCAACACTGAGGGAAAACGGGTTAAAATGAGGCTAAAATTGAAAACGAAAAAATACTGCTACACTTTGGGGCCGATGTTGAACAAGCAGTAAAGTGAAACTCGGCGAGCAGAAGGCTGGAGGAGGCCTGGCCCGAAGCCCCGCCCCTCACGTCACAAATCTGCGCGGGCGAACTTGGCCCAGATGTGCTGACTGAAGCTGGAGACGGTTTTCCAGCAACAGCAGCACTTCTCAAACTTGTGCTGTCTAATGAGCTACTACCCGCGGTCCCTATCAATGCCCACAAGTCCGGGCCCCGCGGCTCTCCCGTCACAGACTTCCACAGACTGAGCTGCAGCGCAAGAGGGAGGATCTACTGGCAAGGGGAGAAAGCAAGAGCCTCAGAATACCTGAGCCGAGATGAATCCCTCATAGACGGTTTTCTCCCGGTTTTGGGGCAGAAGCAACGGGCACTGGCGCAACAGGCTTGTTTCCATCACCGCCAAACTCTCACTTCGCTGACCCGCAAGGAAGTTAGAAGCGGGACCAGACACCGCACATGCGTAGTCTCGCTAATGACCGGGATACCCCACCTTCCCCCTCACCCTCCCCCCCCCAGGCGGAAACTGGAGTCTTGGCGGGAAAAAGTCTCGAGGCTTCCGCGGGCAGAAGTGCAGGTCTAGTGTTGTCTGGGAGACGGATGCAGGCATAGCAAACATAGACATGGCCCAGCAGGAGGCGGCATTGACCCCCACGAAAGGCGGGAGGGAATACTTTAAAATTCACAACTGAGACTCAAGGAGATCATGTGTATTATATCCATACTTGTCCCAAGAACATTTTTGGATGATTGTGTTTGACTTTATTGAAAATTTGCCACCACTACCAATCCCTCCGGGAGCTCTGGTAGCATAGTGCCTAAGGCAGTTGACTGCTAACCAGAAGGCTGGTGGTTCAAACCCACCAGCCACTCCTCAGAAGGAAGATGGGGCAATCTACTTCCATAGTGATACTGCCTCGAACCCAAAGAGAGGTCGCTATGAGTCCGACTCTATGGCACAGAACAACGACAACAACCAATCACTCTAAAAGGGATCAAAATTGGAGATCCTCGACAGAGTGGGAGAAAAATGTGGAATAAAACTCAGAATCATTGGGGGAGAAAAAAAAAAAAGGTGAGGCTTACTGATTGTATAGAAAATGGTGAAACCCCTGACACTGTGGCCCCTAGTCACCTTTGGAGCCCAGAATTGAACCACTCCTGTGTCTTCCAGCTAAACAATGGACAGGCCTACAAGGTGAACATTTACACCAGAGAGGTACACTCCTTAGAGCTATCAAGAGACTACCAGCTCCTCCTCGGAAGAAAGATGGGCAATCTACTTCCATAAAGATTTACCGCCTAGGAAACCCCATGGGGTCTCTATGAGTAGGAATGTACTCAATGGCAGTGGGCTTGGTTTGGTTTTGGTATGACATTAAATTATTATATTACCTTCAAAATAGCATTTACAATATACTTTGGCTTACCAAGGAGCTCTGGTAGTATAGTGCCTAAAGCACTTGACTGCTAACCAGAAGGCTGGCACTTCAAACCCACCAGCCACTTCTTGGAAGGAAGGTTGGGCAATCCTACTTCCATAGTGATACTGCCTCGGAAACCCAAGGAGGGGTCGCTATGAGTCGGGGCCAACTCGACGGCAAAACCACAACAACAACAACAATGAGAAACACATTATACACATATACATGATCTGTAATTTCTGTATTGAGATATTGCATACACCAGACTCAATTGTTACATACTGTCCCCATAAACATCTAGAGAGGGAAAATTGCTAATGAACTTGAACATTTTGGTAATTAATCTCTAACAACTCGCTCTGGTTTGTGGCTTTTTTTTTTTTTTTTGTATTAGAAGATTTTACCATTTGTTAGCAACAGTGAGATAGCTTGTGCAAAGCGGTAAGAAATCCCCTCTGCTTTTTTTTTTTCCCCCCAATTGTGATTTGGGTGAAAGTTACTGAGCAAATTCATTTTTCATACAGCAGGTCATACACATTTTGTTTCAGGACATTGATTGCAATGCCCATAACGTAACATCTCTCTTCCCACTTTCTCCTGTGGTTACCTGTTCCCTGTATCTTTCCTTCCTACCCATTCCTGCCATCTGAACTATTGCCCTGTACAAATACTACCCTTCTGATCACCCATGATTGATTTTTCTAAGGAGTGCACCTACCTGGTGTAAATGTTAACCTTATATGCCTTGTCAGGAAGTCATGAGAGTGGATTGAATTCCAAGCCTGAAGGGTGACTAGGGGTCATAGTCTCAGGGGTTTCAACAGTCTCTATCAAACCAGTGAGCCTGGTGGTTTTTTGGTCTTTTTTTAAAAGATTTTGAGTTTTGTTCCACATTTTTCTCCTGTAGTGATCCCTTTCTGAGTGGTTGACAGTGATAGCCAGGCACTATCTAGTTCTTCTGGTCTCATGGTTACATAGGTCAATGTTCACGTGGTCCACTAGTCCCTTGGACTAATTGTTTCCATGCATCTTTGGCTTTCTTCATTCTTCTTTGCTCTAGATGAGGAGAGATCAGTTGTTGCATCCAGATGGCCACTTGCAAGCTTTTAAGACCTGCAGTGAATTGCTTGATGTGGCCCTTCTAGCCATTGTCCTCCATTCTGTGATGTTTTGTAAATCCCATTATCCATGCCTGTTTGGACGGGTGTGGTAGTTAAGGTCAGGTATCAACTTGCCTGGGCAGCTGGTAGTAGTCATTCCCTGTAATGACTCTGTGATGGGATTTAGGTTATTTCTGTTGGGGCAACACAGGTGGAATGTATCTTGAGTCCTACCTTGTTGGAGGGTATAATTCAAATCACCACCCTTAGCTTCCCTGAGGGTATACCTACGAATCTCCTGGGAAGATTCGCTCTCCTCTTGCTCTGGCTTTGTGTCTTGGCTCATCCTCATCTCACCCCTGGATTTGGGACAGCAGCCATCATCTGATCTGCTGATCAAGGTTCATCAAACCCTGAGAGTTGGAAGGATCCTCCAGTCCTACTCACGGACCTGGGACCCATCAGCCTGCCAGCCTCCACCACTACTATGTGTGACGAACCTTTGGGTGTCTGTGAGTTCTGTGAGGTGTTACAGCGAAATACAGAACCCTAAGACTGGGGAAATTACTGGGAGGAGAAGGAGGAGTTAATGTCTGAAATGATGAGTGGTACGGTAGTTTGGACATTTGGGACATCTTTAACATCTGCCTCATGGGGACTGGCCTTGTGCTGATCTTTCTGAGAGAAATTGTTCAAGCAAGACCCCTATCACTACTAAGCAAAGCAAGATTTAAAACAATGTTTTTGTGTAGTGTGTTATGCCAATTAAGCTTGATATCCCCCTCGACACTCCCTCCAGGTAGTTGGCTGTGGCTAAGAAGTTATCATGACTTTGTCCACTGTTGGTTCTATTTATATGGACATTCTTATAGCACATACAAATATGTATGTAGAAATATTGTCTTCCAAACATATATGATCATGGTTATATTCCCTTTTGCCCAGACATACCTGAGCATTAAGCCTCTCTACCTCTGTATCTACCTGTAGGTAATGTTTGTTACTACTGATAATGCAGCATTGTATATGTCAAAGTGTTTATCCCTGTTGTCTGTACTTCTTGTGCACATCTCTGTGTCTTCCTTTTCTTTAGTTTTACTGTGTTGGTCAATACCTTTTGGTATATTCCCTTTCCTTAACCCAAATCAATACTTGTCTCTTACCTATCTAGCATTTTTCCTTCCCTTCCCCTCCCATCACTGGTAACAAAGAAAGTTGCCTTCTTTATATAAACCTTTCCTTGACTTTTTACAATAGTGGAAAAATACAGTATTTGTCCTTCTGTGATTGACTTACTTCACTCAGCATAATGTCCTCCAAGTTCATCCATGTTATAATTCACAGATTATATGTTATTCTTCAATGTTGCATAGTATTCCATTGTGTTTATGTACCATAGTTTGGTTATCCTTTCCTCCCTTGATGGGCACTTAGGTTGTTTCCATCTCTTTGCCATTGTGAATAATACGGAGATAAACATGGGTGTGCATATATCTATCCATGTCCTGGTTCTCACTTCTTTACAATATATACCTAATAATGAGATTGCTGGATCAAATGGTATTTCTTCTTCCAACATTTTATGGAATCTCCATACCATTTTCCTTCCAGTGAGATGATTTCCTTGAAGATTAAGGTGGGCTTGACACAAGCCATGGTGTTTTCAATTGCCTCATATGCATGTGAGAACTGGACAGTGTAGAAGGAAGACTGAAGAAGAGTCGATGCTTTTGAGTTGTGGTGTTGGTGAAGAATGCTGAAAGTACCATGGACTGCTAAAAGAACTAAGGAGTCTGTCCTGGAAGAGGTGCAGCCGTAATTCTCCTCGGAAGCAAGAATGGCCAGACTTCGTCTCATCTACTTTGGTCATGTTATAAGAAGGGAACATTCCCTGGAGAGGGATATCATGCTTAGCAAAGTGGAGGGAAAATGAAAAAGGGGAAGGCCCTCAACAAGATGGATTGACACAGTGGCTGCAACGATGGGCTCAGGTATGACAAGGATCATGGGCCTGGCACAGGACCGAGCGGTGTTTCATTCTGCTGTACATGAGGTCGCTATAAGTCGGAGACACTCAATGGCACCTAACAACATACCATTGTCCACAGTGGTTGTATCATTTTACAATCCAATCAGCAGCATATGAGAGTCCCAGCCTCTCCACAACCTCACCAGCATTTGTTATTTTCTGTCTTGTTGAATTTTGCTGTTAGTGCTGGGGTGAGATGGGATCTCATTGTCTTGATTTGCATCTCTCTAATAGCTAGCGACTGCACAGCACCCAGAAGAATGGCAGCAGCAGCCAACAACCTCGACCATCCCCCAAGAGACTGACCTCAAATCTGAACCATAGGTAAGAATCTCCCCCACCCCCCTTGGGGCCTGAGGCTTTAGAAAATGATAACACCTTCTCCCTCAGAGAAATCAAATCAGGCCGTCTTCTAATCTTGCCTACCTTCTTGGAGTCCCAAGGTGGTACATACAATTGACGTACTTGGTTGCCAGCTGAAAGGTTGGTGGTTCGAAGCCACCCAGAGGCATCTGAAAAGACTGAAAAATCGGTCACTGAACCCCTGTGGGGTGCAAGTCCACCCTGACACACATGGGGTGCTGTGAGTAGGGATCGGCTTTACGGCCAGGGGTCTGCCTACCTTCCTCCTCCCCTCCCTCCCAGTTCACCAGAAGGCCTAAAGACCTGCCCAATACCTGCCACTCACCCTGGGTTCTGCACAGCAACTCTTCCCATCCCAACAGGGACCTCACTGCCCCCAGGTATTTCCTCTGTCCCACTCCTGCAACAAGGGGTATTGTTACTCTAATACCCAACACCCACTTGGTGAACGGAGGTTTGGCTTTGCCCACTCGCACCCACCTTATGAGCCTGCAGGAACTCTATCCTGCTC